ATTTCGTAAGGTAATTCTACCTGATCCGTCAACTCTGATACGGTATTGGTGGTTGGGGAGGGTTTCAATGACCTGACCTGTTGTGTCCCATCGACGGGTTGTTGGTCTTTGTAGTGCCACTATTTGTCCTTTTTGAAGGGGTTTAAAGTGTGTGCTGTTCTGTTGTATCGCTCTATGAGACGAGCGTTCCGCCGGGACAAACTTATCTCACGATTTTGTGCTGCGGTTATCCAATTCGCGTGTGGCTTATAGAGTGTTGGGTGGGATGGTATGTAGTCACGTAGTCGGCGGTGGAGTAGTAGTTGAGCAGGGGATAGCCCAATGTTTTGAATGGGCGTATTCCTGTATTGGAGGATGGCTCTTGCTGCACGGTTATTATCCAATGATCCTTGGGCTCCTGTGTTGCCATTTACGATTCTCTTGGCTGTTTTGACAGCGAGCTCTGCTCGACCATTGGATTGTGGGTAACCAGCAGATGATAACCTTTGTTTAACAGCCCAGTCTTGCAAAAATTGCTTGAATGGAAGAGATGTGAAGGGTGGCCCACCATCACTGCTGAGTTCCTCAGGAGCGCCGTAGGTTTGAAATATGTCTCGGCAAATCGAAATAATCCTTGAGGCATTAGCTTCTCCGTGGCTCAAGTGGTATAGATTCAGCCAGCCCGTTAACCTGTCAGCGCATGCTAAGTAACCATGGTTTCCAACATGGAAGATGTCCATGACGATTTGCTGAAATGGCCAATCAGGAGATGGTGTCAAATTGATTGGCTCTTTTGGTTGACTCAGGGGCAATTTTTGAGCAGAACGTACAACCTGCTCTAATATTACGAATTGAAGCATTCATCCCGGGCCAATAAACAGATTCATTGGCACGTGCCTTCATGCCAACTTCGCCTTGATGTGCAGAATGTAGGCTATGTAATATTTTTGCGCGTTGTGAGGTGGGGATAACAATTCTTTGATCTAAGAGCACTAACCCGTCGTCAACACTTAGGCGGTGCCTCACTTCCCAATATTCGCGGATTTCAGGTGCAGTGAGGATGCGCGTTCTTTGGAATCCGTTTTGTATTACTTCTATTAATTTTTTGTATTGCGGGTCGCTGCGTCCCGCCGTACGGATAACGTCTGGTGAGATGAGCTCCAGGTTGTCATTTGCACCGAATGTTGCTAATAAGGTTTTTGATTTGACCCAGTCATCCATGTTGTCAGACTCTATGATGTCTGATTGAGAGGGTTCAGCAGTGAATACATTTAGGAGTGCCTGTGAGATGTCTGCTGGGTTACGAGAGACAGCATCGGAGGCTCTGTGCCATTTCCCAGGGCAGTGCTGAATGGTGAATCTGTACCTGAGGGTTTTCTCCTTTAACCTGAATAATCAGGGGTTTTGGATTTTACTAAGGTCTCTATCTCCGAATAATCCTTTTAGTGGTTCATGATCTGTAACCACTATGAGATTCAGGCAACCCATTACAAAAATCCGACATTTTTCCAATGCCCATGCAATTGCTGCTGCTTCGCCTTCAATAGGTGCATATCTGCGTTCAGCATCAATGCAGAATCTGCTACCAGCAAATATCAGGCGCCAACCTTCAGGGCAGCAAACTGGGGCTTTGTCAGTGGTGCATGAGCAATACTTCTGCAGAAGTAGGAAGCCCATTCCGTCTTTGCTCCAATCTGGGGCAAGGCAGGTTATTCTTTCTTTTTGAAATGTTGCGATGCCTTTTCGGACTAAGTCAACTATGACCTTCTTTGACTGCTGGAATGCATCCTCCAGGCTTTTATTCCATGTAAAGTGTGAGTCTCGTTTTACGAGATCACGAAATGGAAGCATGACTGGGCTTAGTGAATATGCCCAAGCGACTTGGTTGACCAGCCCAAACCATGATCTGGCATCGGTGAGTGTTTTTGGTATTGGGAAGCTCAATATTGCCTCCAGCATGGATTTAGAAGGGGTTACACCAGAAGATGTTATTTGGAGGCCCCCAAACTGCACCGTGTCTTGGCAAAATTGGAATTTTTCTCTATTTATTACGATGCCGTTTTTTGCACAATGGAGGAGAAAATCGAAGGTGTGAAAAAAAGGCTCCTTCGATGTCAGAGTCATAGAGTAGGGTGTCATCCACGATTTTTTACTTTGCGGGGGATGTCTTTTATTACTTCATCATATCTTCGGGTGTAGGCATCGCCAGATGCTAGGTAACCTTGTGGCATTCTCAGGTACATGAACCTTCCCCATTCTGTGATGAAGGTGGTGAGTGGCTGGGACTCTTTATCTAAGGGGATGGAATGATATCCATCAACAGCATCCAACACTGTTTTCTTTTGTTTAGGTGGCACTTGTAGTGCTAGCTGGAATGGTGACCCTGTATGGTGTGTTTCCCGTTTGCACTGTGAATTCAGGTGTTGGTAGTCTATGGTTCTTCGTGGTTTGCCATTTTTTTTGCGGTAATTACCATAGTGCTACACCAATCAGCGGGCATGCCAACGGGTACTGGGGTTATGATACCCCTTTTCACATCTTCCCAAAGGGCCTGTCTTACGGGCTCTTTGAAGTGAAAAGGCACAGGAATTGGGTTATGTCTTGCTTTGGGGACTGCTCCTTCTTTGAGGTGTATATGTGCAGTGGGGCCAGACATCGGTGGGAATTCACCATTGTTCTTGAACGCCGTTTCGGCAAATTGATTTAATAGCCAATTCTTGAGCCTATCAATGTTTTGTTCTGTTGGAAGAAAAGGGAGTTTTTTGGGGCGTGTTGGAAGTTGTCCCTCGACTTTGCATTGTTTAGGGCTCACGTCCGATTTTTTATGTGTGCTTGTCGAGGGCATGTGTTGCATTGTTGTTTGGGGTAATATTGTAGTTGTTGGCTTCGGGAAGTCTTTGGACAGTATCCCCACATCAATGCAGGCTGCTTTGCTGAAGTATAGCCGCTGAATCTTTTTTGCATATGTATAGGGCTTGTTTAGTTGTTCTTCCTTGGACGATGAATTCCACGGGGAGCCAACCCTGACATACAAGCGTAAAGCCTCCCACAGCTCGGACGACTTTTCTTGATGGAATGAGGTTGTCGATAGTGAGCCCCATATTCAGAAGGTGCTTAAGTCCCCGAGACATATGGTGGCCCCACTGTCAGGAAAGATTGTCATCCTAGTGCTGTGATTTCTGGGGATATTCTTAATTTGTCTGGGATCCGGTTTTGGCGAAAATGGAACAACATATGCATCAATTTCCCTTATCTGGCCTGTGTCTTTAGACGTATACGTGCCTGTCGTTTGATTGAATGTGATGTGGGCGATAAGTGTGTCCATGGCGGCTTCATTAGCCTCTAGGCTTTTCCTGACCGCTTGAGCTGGTTTCTTAGCCCGGCATACCCTCGATAGGTGATTGGGCTTCCCACAATTACTACATGTTTGTCCCCATGCTGGGCATTTTAGCCGGCGTGATTCAGTTCCTGAGGTGCCATGCTGGTGGCTGCCACAACCTAAGCAAGCCTGGTGGTTTGGTTTAACATTGCAGTTGCAATAGGTGCTGGTACGGATCGCCTCGTTGGCTTGTGGTGTACCCTTCTGTCTGCGGTATGTTGATAGCCGAGCAGCAGCTGTATCTGAAGCACTGGCCATTGAGGTTTGGTCCCGCAATGCTGATTCAAATGCCTCAGCATGACGGATATTTTGTTCAAGGGATTTAAGTGCCCCAGCTTTGGCCAGTAGGTCAGCCTGGAGTGTGTCATTTGCTATTCCACGGATGATCTGGTCCTTGATGTATATATCAGACAGGTCATGTTCACACGAGGGGCAGGTAAAGTTACAATCAACGGCTACGGCTCTGAGGCGGACAAGGTAACTTTGTATTGGCTCATCAGCATCCTGAGACATGGAGGCAAAAGCAAGGCGATGGACAATAGGACTTGACCTCTGGGTGACCAACACTTCTACCATGTCAAGTAGATTATCTGGATCAGTGGTAAAGAAGTCAGGGTGTGTGTTGATTATGGCATTTTGCACAGCCTCATCAGCACAATTGTATAGGTGAATATTAGCTTGGGAGTTTGGCATATTTGTCATCTTGGTAAAGACATCCCAGTCAATTCGGAACTTCCTGAATTGCTGTGGTGTCATCTCGAGATTGAGATGAGGAGGCTTGGCTGCTAGTGCCTGAATGCGGGTTGTCTGGGTGGTGGATTCCTTAGCCTGCTTGATGATACACAGGGCTTCACCCATTAATGTGACTCCCAGCTCCTTAAGCATAGATCGATCCAGCATTTCAAGGCTCTCGATTGTCAGCTTCTCGTCCGCAAACCTTGTTGCATGAGTTTTGGCCGAGTCGGTGGATATGCCTGCTTCAATGAAGAATAGTTCCCAATTTTCAGGTGTCATAAATCCTGTTCGCAGCGCCATGTCGAACAATCACGTGGTCAAGATAAACACTCAGTTGTGGAGCAAGCTGAGTGAATACTAATTCAACATTGAGAAAGAGTTATTTATGGTGCAATGGAGCATCTCATTATGTTAAAGTGGGATAGTCCATTGCTTGGGCTGTGATTGGCTGCTGGTACCTGAGTGGAAGTATTACTATATAAATACTAGCATGATTTCTCAGTTTGCAGGATATGTATTAAGTTACAACCTGCTTTATTTTTTTTGTCTGCCAGCTGGACGCACACACACACACACACACACACACACACACACACACATAAATACATATATATATACCGAGTGTAACAGCAAAACAGTTCAAATGGTGTAACAACAAAAGTGAACAATTGGTAGATTAACCTTTCAACCGTTGTATCTTAGAAATGATTAAAGCTACCTTACTGGAATTCTCCGAGGTTTTTATAAAACTATTGAACTTCAAACAATAAGAATGCTCTAAGTTGAAATGATGTTCCCTCTGGCTGATGTCACCTCCTGACACATTTTTTTCTCTATACTGTTCCCTCTTTTTAAAAATTATTCAGCATTCTCTGGATGGCTCATGAAGATGGAAGCCAGAGTATGAATGTTGGTACCATTACTGACGGCATATATCTATCTATCTATCTATCTATCTATCTATCTATCTATCTGTTACTTGCATTATTTACATTGTTCGGACTGTTATCCTTATCTTCATTGCTATAATCACAACGTTTCGGTCGTTGTACGCTCCAGCCTTCTTCAGGTGACTGAAATTTTGAACAAAACCTTTTATTTCGTCCACTGGGGTACATTGTTCTAGTTCCACATGCCATGCCTCTTCTGGATGTCTCAGTTGTTTCCCTTTAACTCAACTCTCCAAGTTTTGGTTCACCACTGCTGCAACCCGGTACTGAACACACAACACTTTTGGTCTAGTCACTGGATCTAACCAACGTCTTTATCCACTGGGCCATGTGTCAGTCTGATATAACATGTGAATATGGCAATGAAGATGAGTCAGAATAATGCAAATGATGCGTGTAGTCATAATACCTCATCGCAGAGATATTGACAGGTTTGTTTGTTTGTTCTTTTTAAGCGTTTCACCCCAAGCAAGGCGTGAAGCCACTAGCACGCAAGGGTTTACAGAGAGTTGGAGCGAGAGCAAATAAGAGTGATAGAGGAAAGGCATCTGGAGACGTCGATTGACATTACATTTGAATAGTTGGAGATTATAGCTATCAGGGAAACAGGAAAAGAGAAGGCAGTTCCACAGGCGAGAAATGAAACTATTGGAGTAGAAGAGACGGCTACATTTAACAGTTTCGACAGTGAAAGGGTGAGAGCGAGATGTCAGCCTAGTTGAACGCTTAAATTCATGAAGTCTGGGAACCAGCGAAAGCAGCTCATCGGAGCAGTTACCATGAAAGTATTTGTAAAAAAGACAGAGGGAGGCAACGGCACGTCTGTGAGAGAGCGACTGCAGACGAGATGCCAGATCAGTCCAATTAAATTGCATATCCGTCTCTGTATTTTTATCAAGGACATTGAGACAATTAGAAGGGGCTTCAGACCATATATGGCAGCAATACTCCATGCAAGGGCGAAGTGTTGTTTTGGAGGTTTGAAGGATCGAAATCGTCGAGAAAAATTTCCTGGCGCGGCACAAGGAGCCAACTTTCCTTGCAGTGGACGAAGCTATTGATTCAATGTATTTGTTCCATCTCAGGTCAGCAGTCAATGTGAGACCAAGCAGTCGCAAAGATACATTTTGGTTAAAATCTTTTTTTCGTACAAATTATCTAATGTTTAGTTTTAGAACATGTTAATTTTACAGCTTTTTAGAATTATCCTGATGTTTCGATGAACCTTCTTCAGAGTTTTGGGATTTCTGTATTAAGTCGTTCGATTTATGCTTGATATGAGTGTGCGGGTTCGCTTCAAGCGAGATACGAAAGGTGCTGGTCAATCGCTGGACGGCATATATTTCCAGGAAACTGTTGTAACAGAAAGTCCTGTTTTTATATTTTCGGTTTTTGATAATATTCAAAACGACAGGGCAGATTTTAATAAGTTGACTCCCTTGCAAGATTTCGCTGGTTTCGTGAAGGCGAACGCGACTCAAGCACTCTTGGACGGGGAACCACGTGATTTTTTCCCGAAAAACTGGATTCAGGCAAGAGTTCATCCAATCCAGAATCATGGAACCGTTTTGAAGGAGCGTGTTGAAAACACCCTCTTGAATATTGGATAACAATCCGAAGTATTCTTGACAGTATTTGGCGCGACTGATTAGCAAAGTTTTTAGTGAACAACCAATGTTCAGGCAACTCTTTATTTGTTAAAAAGTAGGTGCGGTTTCTTCAAAGTTATCAATAGAAAATCAACGATATTGATTGTATGTTGATGTTTCTGGTGCTTACCAAAAAAACAAAAAAAAAACTGATTTTATTATAAGTCGATCGTTATTTTACAGAATTGTTTCCTCCATGTTTCTTTTGTTTTCTATAAGATTTACTATTTTCTGTCATGTTCAAAGGAAGTGTAATGTTGGAAAAGCGTCTCAGTCATTCTGTCATTTGGAAAAAAATTCTCAGATATTGTTCATTAAAGACTTATCTTTTTCAGTGTGATGTTTTTTCTTTGAAAACCTTTTAGTCAAGTTCTTAAAATAAATTGAAATTATTATTTCAATCATATTTGGTTCTTGTTGTTTCCATTCTCAAGATCCATGTTTTTAAAAATGAATTATTTTTCATATTCTTTTTCTATTCTTATTCTTTTATTTTTTTCATTTCTTTTTTTCTTTTTAGTTTATCTCGAATATTTTGTTAATCTTTTGTTTTCATTTTTCTTAGCTTAATTTTATCTTTCTTTTTTTTCTTTTTTCTTTATTTCAATCTTTCTTTTTCGAATTATCATCTTTATCGTTTTTCCTTCATTTTTTTCTTTTAAAATTTCCATTTCTTTCTTTCTTTCTTTCTTTCTTTCTTTCTTTCTTTCTTTCTTTCGTTCCTTCTTGTGAATTTCTTTTTTCTCTTTCTTTCTTTCTTTCTTTCTTTCTTTCTTTCTTTCTTTCTTTCGTTCCTTCTTGTGAATTTCTTTTTTCTCTTTCTTTCTTTTTTCCTTCTCCTCAATTCATTCTTTCTTTAATTTTTATCGTTCTTTAGTTTTATACGTTTTCATTTTTCTTTTATTTCATTTTCTTTCATTTACTCTTTTCTGTTTTTAAATTATTATCTTCTTTATTATTATTATTATCTCTCATCATTTTTATTTTCTCTTTTCCTTTTTTCTTTTTTAATTTAATTTAATTTCTCTCTTTTGACTGCATGAATATTCTGCAACCTCAGTGGCAATATGTTAATCTCTATTGAAATTCAAGACGAAAAAAGGCTTCCATATCGCAAAATTCCATGACACGTAGCCTACACAGTTTAGATCGACACTCTTTTCAATCCTTCGTTATCACGCGGCTTCATCCAGACAACGAAAATAAATCCGATGCAAATCTTGCTCTTGTTAAACAGCGAAAACTGCTCTAGAACCCACACCCTTTCTCGACCCCTAAGTTGTTGGCTTCCTTTCTATACCACATTTGGTTTTAAACACACAATGAATTTTTTCTTTCTTTTTTTTTTCGCGCCATTCATTTTTTCTCCTTTTGCTTCTTTTCCCAGCCGATTATTTCACAAGCCTCATCTGAAAGTCGTGCGTTGTCAATGGCTCATTTTCCCGCGTAAATCAATCTGATTCATCATCGTAATAACACCTGGTTCCGAAAATTAAAAAAATCCACTTTAAGGTTTTACTGTCTTTGTTGCTATATTGTGTTAAGCACAAGAATAGGACGAAGAACGATAAAGAACAATGTGTGTGTGTGTGTGTGTGTGTGTGTGTGTGTAAAGGATCTAAGGCTGTCTAATCGATTTCGAGCATCAGAAATGTTATCGTTATATACACTTGTACAATAGGAACCTGACTCTTTCTACATCGATTATCAGCATCCAGATACAAGAATGCTCAAGATGACTGGTGATAGCTTAGTTACACGTTTCCTTCTTTCACTAAGTCCAATCTACCCTGGTATGTTTTTTCCGGGTACGGGGATTAATAGTGCAGTTTGGTTTAATACCATAGGTTATCTCTTCCCGAGTGGTTGCCTGTACCACGGTCAAGGAGCCCCATCTATGCCATATAGTGCTTATGATGATGTTAGTGTTGATAATATAGGCCTATATAGAGACGACGGTCTTATGTTAGTAAAAAAATTCTACTAAAATTAATGTTGACAAATTAAGGAAAATGATCCATAGAGAATTAAAAAGCCTAAATCTTAAAGTTAAAATCACTACTAATGTTAATCAGGTAGATTTTCTGGATGTTATGTTAGATCTTGTGAATGATAGTGAGATTATGATAATAACCTTGATATAATGATAAAAACCTTATATGAAGGTCAATGTCAACCCAATATATATTCACCCGAACTATAACCATCCTCGATCTGTAATTAAACATATAACCTCTTCTATAGACTATAGGATTAGCAATAACTCTTCTAACAAAGATTTTTTCAATAAGTATATAGTGTTTATAATAATGCCTTAAAAATAGTGGTTACAAATACACAGAAATCAATTACAGTCAACATGATAGTAATGATTGAAGAAAAAAAAGAGAACAGAAAAATCATTTGAATACACTCACCCATTTAACCAATTGGTTAGTATTAAGTTAGGACAGAATTTCAGCCGTTAAATTTATAATCAGTAAAATGTTTAAATTATGTAAAAGAAACACACTAAAACTAAGCTATAGCTGCACCGATAATGAAAATATTATAAAATACATAATAATAAAATTTTAAACAGATATAAAAACCCGAGTAATAATGTTAATTCCAATGTATCTAATGTCATTAATACTAACAAATGTAATTGCAGAATTTCTTACGATTACCCACTGCAAAACAAATAACTGATCAACTCCCTTGTTTACCTAAGCACTATTTCTACAATAGAAAATCCGTCAGTTGAAAAATTTGATATAGGAAGTACTAAGAATTCTTTTAAAGCTAGGTGGTATCGACATATTATATATTTCGCCAATAGCACTTATAAAAAAGAACATCACTTTCCAAATATTTTTGAAATTTAAAAGGTTAATAAAACTCCTACGGTTAAATGGAAAATTTAAAAAAAGCTAGAATACGTAAATACTTCTTGCTTCTTATGCATACACGAGAAATTAGAAATTATTAGACTTGCTGATAAGTATTCTCTATTAAAACAAAGAAGTGAATTAACTGTAAATTGTAGGAATAGCTTACATTTTCACCTTACAATATGGTTAAACTTTAAATTTGGTAGTATCATTTCATGTCATAATAAGTAAGTCAAATTGCAGTGCATCTTCTATTAATTATTATTTTATTTTGTTTATTTGAATTTAATATAACTATGTATTGCTGTTTAGTCGGCATTATCAATATCTTGCATGAATATTACACATTTTTTTATTTTTAAACACTTAAGTTTCATTTACTGGTTTCTTAAAGTAACGTTTTTATTATCAACTATAAAATGTATGTTACACTTAGCTTTACGTTTGATTATCTTTCTACTCCTTCCCCTTAGCTTATAAAATTGAACGAGTTACATTTGTTTCATAATTAAGATACATGGTTGCCACTCGTTTAAAGTTTGTATTCATTTCTTGTCTGCCACTCATGATATTGTCTAGGATTATATCTCAAACCACATTTTACCATGATTAAAATTCCCCTATATTTTTTAAAGTTTATTTTGAATTTAGCGTAGGTCTGACAGCTAGTTGGTTAATCAGGTTAACCCACAAGCCTCTTTTTAATTTTGATTTGTTGTTGTCTGCTTTTGAAATTTAAAAATAATTTTTTACTCACCAGTTATTGTATTGCTGAAACATGAAAGCTACTGTATAGCGATTTTTAACATGTTTTAGTTTTAATCTCATATAATAAATAATATTAAGCCCTACTCTGTATTGAGCCCCCTTTTAAAAATTAAATGCTACAGACAGTGGAATTATAGTCCATTTGTTCTTATCTTATAGCATAATATATTTTTCACTGTAAATGAAACACGCATAAATTAAATTGCAAAGATTGCAATATGAGCACTGGTAAAAAAATAATGCTGAAGACATTAGGTTTATAATATCCAGAAATTAATACACAGATATCCTCAAGGATAAAATGAATAAAGTCGTTGATTAGATCCAGTGACAGGAACCAAAGAGTGTGAGTTCAATACCCGGTTAAGGCAGTGGAAAACTTTCAGAGTGGAATTAACAGGAGATAACAGATAACTGACATCCATTAAACATGGCACGTTGAACTAGAACAGTCTACCCCAGTGAGCGAAATAAAGTGTTCAGTTCGACATTCCAGCCACCTGAAGAAGGCCGGAGCGTACAACGGCCGAAACGTTGTAATAAATATTGTGACAAAGATAAGGACAATAGTCCGAATAATGTAAATAGTATACATAAATCAAAACTAAGATTTTAATTTTTTTTATAGCCTTCCATCTTGAGTAGGCTCTGACCTTTACACTGAGTGAACCGTTAAGTATTTTAAAAACAGATGATGACTTGCGGATAGAGTAGGTATTAAAGAGATGACTATTAAAATATTCATTCAAATGTAATAGTTATAGGTATTTAGGCCGGTAAAAGATTTGAAAAACGTTGCGCCTGCGTGAATGGAGTTCAGAAGACATATGGTGAGTTATTAGTGACATATGTGCATGAAAAACACTAACGTTCCAGAATCAAAATTAAAGCCAACGATGAAGAAATGTAGACGTCATTTTTAATGACCTCTGGCTACTCTTTACTTAGTCCGCTAAGATGCCACAAATGTAGGATACCAATAATGAAAATTATCGCTAATATTTTCAAGGTTCGATTCGTTGGTTGTAAAATTCAGTGCTCGAGCCCGCCAAGTATAGGCAACTATTTTGAATATTGATTTTCAATGCAAGCTTTTTCAAATCTCTCTCTCTCTTTCTCTCTCTCTCTCTCTCTATATATATATATATATATATTATAGATATAATAATAAAGATGCAGAAGATCTGTTCTTATTCACAATAATGAACAGTGGTTTAAGAACAATTCTGATAATCACTTTGATATTTCTATGGGATCATTAGATTTTGCAGGGTCTTCAGAGTCTTCTGACCTGGTGGGTTTGTTTATTATATATAATATTAAATAAAGTGTTTATGATGATGTTAGTGTTGATAATATAGGCTTATATAGAGACTTATGGCAGTAAAAATATTCTTATGTTAGTAAAAATTTCTACTAAAATTAAGGTTGACAAATTAAGGAAAATGATCCATAGAGCATTAAAAAGCCTAAATCTTAAAGTTAAGATCACTTCTATTTTTAAACAGGTAGATTTTCTTAGATGTTACGAAAAGAAGAGAGGCTATCAATCAAATAAAGGACTCCTCCTCTCATCTGAGGATTGAGGAAATCATTTTATCGTACAGAATTTAGGAAATAATGAGAACACAATATTTCTAGTGTTGTTTAGTCACTGAAAAAGTAGAAACAAAAGAATTACAAACATATACATCGAAGACGTGGTGGAGTGTAGGGGGAAATTTTTGTCATTTACAGTCCGTTACCGGGTAGCAATGTCACTCTATACTTTCAAGGCCATTTTAAATGCGTTGATCTTAATAAATCTACACCCAGACGAAACCTAACCGACCCAACAAACCGGTTTCTGTAAATTCAAAGTATGTCAACTGTTCGTTTTTACTGATTGTGCAGTGTTCTTGATTTAAAAGTTCAAAGTTCACGTGTTTTTTGTCCAGTATAAGGGAAATAATATTTTTTCATGCATATATAATTTTTTATAAGCATTTAAGGACTTTGTGGCTATACTCAAAGTTGACTTTATATATTTTGGGCTTTAATTCACTTAAATAAAGGGCTTGAAGTATATTTATTTTTTTCTTAATAATGTAATATAGACGTATTTTCAAGTAATATCTCTTTAATCTGTGAGTGTGGGGATGTGTATTTTTGTAAATACTGAGATATTGAACTATGCTCGGCAAAATGTAAGCTTTTTGTTAGTTTTGTCGTAGTAACGCCAGTGTACGTATTGGCA